AGCAACAAAACCCAAACAACTCAGCAGATTTAAATAAGACAGAATAACAAAGTTACCAAAATTCACTGTGGACTATTAAGGAGTTAATGTCACTGCTAATATGCCATAAAAAATGTCTGTGGAATTTGAGCAAAACTTAAAAGAACGTCACATATCCTTAAATGCTTTTGCAATTAAACAAGCGTGAAATAAGTAAAAGAAGAAAAAATTAGAAAAATAGAACTCGTAAATAAAGAGCCAGTTCTTTTGAGAGATTAGGTGAATTAAGACATGAGAGAATTAAATGCAAATTGCCACTACAATCTGTTTGGAAATCTTTTTAAAAATCCTAACTTTTCCAGGAAAACATACACAATAAAAAAATCCAAAGAGGCTGAAAACTGGAATGAATCAACAACTATGGAAGAAATTGAAGGAAATGTCAAAAATTTCCCCAAAGATGTCACGAGGACCAAATGGCTATACAGAAGAGTTGTATTAAAGTATTCTGTGTCATAGCATTACAGCACAGGGGAAAAAAAAACAAAACAGATTTTCAATTTCTTTTTCAAAAGTATCACAACCCCAAACGCAAAGCCTGACCAGAAACTATAAAAAAAATCACAGTGCAACTTTAGCCTCAGGATGAATTTTAAAAATACTGATGTAACATATTAGAAAATCAAATATATGATTCTTCCTTCATCAAAAAGAAGTTTTAAGTGCTAAGAACTGAAATATCCTACCAGTATAAATCTATGTTCATTACTTATGCTAACAATTTAAAAAATCTTTTAGGATCACTTTAATAAATACCAGAAAGGGATTTGACAAAATTGAACATATTCCTGATTTATTCTAAAAAATGATGAAAGAAGAGAACTTTATGAAATAAGTATTTATAATATATAATCAGAAATTGACAATGATAATAGAAAACTATTCTATTCTATTTCTATTACATTTTCCATCATAATAGAAAGCACAGACGTCTTGCCACTGAAGTACTGAAAAACAAAAGCAAAAGTATCCTTTAGTACCAACAGTTTTGAACATTTTTTTCCTGCAGGATGAACAAAGGTAGTAAGTTAGAGAGGGGGAAAAAATCTATAAATACTAAAAAAGAAAAGACAAAATATTCTTATTGATGATATGACTTTATGCATGGCCAAAATGAAAAGAAAAAAAAAAGAGAGAGGAATTAGTTGAAAATTAGAAGAAATGAGAAGCTTCAGTAAGGTGGTATAAGATAAATATTTTTTAAAATCAATTCCTTTACTAGACACCAATAACATGCTTAGTAGAAAATATCTGATAAAAATAAATATAGATGAGGAAAAATCAATTTATACCTATGTATGTATGCATGTGTACATATATGTAATACGCATACATGTGCATGTGAGCACACACACAATACACACACTGGACCTGGGAATAGACTTAGCTGGAAATATTCCAGATTTATATAAAGAACAATTAGACACAAAGTATAAACTACCATGTTGTTTTATTGGAAGATTCAAGTGCATCCAATCAAGCCCTCATCTCAGTCAGTGAGATTTTTTTTCTTCTAAGAAGATGATTTCAAATTTCTTCTGGAAGAATAAATTTTCAAGAATAATCACAGGAATCTGACTGGAATGGACCAAGATGGCAGACTAGAAAGCAGCCTACATGCTGCCTCTGGGACCTACTCAGAGAGGAAATAAAGTTATTTTATCAAAAAGACACCTGCACTCGGATGTTTATTGTAACACAATTCACAATAGCAAAGATGGGAGAATCAAGCTAAGTGCTCATCGATTCATGAGTGCGTAAAGAAAGTGGTGGTAGATATGTGTCAAGGAGACCTACTCAGCCATAAAAAGCCATGAAATATTCCCTTTACAGCAATATGGGTGGAACTGGAGACCATTCCCCCAAGTGAAGTGTCTCAGAAATGGAAAACCAAATATCACATATTATCACTTATAAAGGGGAACTAAACGAGGGGTATATGCAGTCATGAAGTGGCATAATGGACCTGGAAACGGTGGAGCGTGAGGGATATGAGGGTTAAAACGATTACCTTTTGGCTACAATGTACACTAACCTGTTCTGCAGATTACATGAGGAGTGAGTGATGTATCACTTGCCTCTTTAAATCCTTTGAATGGCTTTCCAGTTGGATGAAATCCAAAAATTCTAATAAGCTGATAATTAGTGTGGCCATGTAATTTAACATCTCAATCGGGAAACAACTGAGAGTAAAAGACAGGCTAGTACAATAAACACTGGTCGTGCAGACACAACTCAGTCTGTCCCGGGAAACCCTACTCAGAAGGCTTCACTCCCAGCTCCTCATCCTCACCTCTTCATCTTTCATTAACAGCCGTTCAGCTATACTAAACTTATTGGGTTATCTCTGCATCCTCAAACTGAAGATTTTTTCCTCATGGGATTCACATACTATTTATTACCTGTACCCAAAACATTTATTTTTCATATCCTACCCCTGACCCATTTCCCATTCATCTGCCCCTCTCTGGTTACCTCCAACTCCACCTTCAGGTCTCAACTCAGAGGCCACTTCCCATGTCAAGTTTTCTTCAATGCGCCCCTCTCAAGTTGGAATTGAGCACAATTCCCTTGTGTTCCACATCATCCCCCAGGTTCCCCCTTTTTTATTTTTTAATCTAATGTTTCTCCTATCACCTTCACTCATCTCTGGATATTTTCTATAACCCAATGCCTGGCAAACCCTAGGCATTCAATAAATATCTAAAAGTTAATGAATGAAGATCTGTCTCTAGTGACACTTACAAATGACCAAAGAAAGTTACCACACTTTTCAGAAAGAGTTGGCAGGTCTGTGTAACATGAGCATGACCTCCCCAGAATGGGTTATATATAATATTTGTTTGTTTGTGTGTGTATATATATTCACACATATTTGGTGTGAGATCTTTTTGTATATCTCAAGTTTCTTTTCTGAACTATGAATTAAATGTTTAAAATGAAATAGCAATCTTTAAAAAGTAATTTCACTAATCCGCTAAAAATTAAAGAAAATATTTAGATTAACATGCCAGAATTATGTTTTTCATATTCTGTCAGTTCAACTAACGACCCATGTACCTTGCTTCTGTTTAAAAGAAAAACAAAAACCCAAATTTTATTCCTAGGACAAAGAGGATTAGCTGACTGTGTCCTGAAATAGTCTAACATTTATTTGGGAATGAACTTCTTAAAGTAATTATGGAAGTGAGAGTCAAAGTGATGGTAGTTAATATAAATGGTTTCAAGGAAAGTAATGTTACAGGTTAGGTCAGAAAGAGAATAAAGATTTTTTTCTTCCCAAGACTGGCTAGCTATGAATTGCCCCGCCAACTGCAGCATCACACGTCTGGAATCTTATCTGTCTATCTTTCTACACATATTTCTTGAAGATACATCTTTCATGCTGACTTCTCACCCATTCTTTAGTCATGCTGCTAGACAAATGTGAAAAATAAACAAAAGTATCCAATGAAAATATTTTCCACATAATAAAATTTAACTGTCCAATTATTATAAAATTTTATCAAACGGCCCTTCATAATACCCTCTAATGTCATACCTCCCTCTTGAGCCAAATGCCAATCCCATGTAATCTCTTTAGTATTAGCTGTTCCATTTTCCACATTCTTGAACAGAATACCCAAAGTCATTTTTTGTGTGTGTCTGAAACAGGCTTCTTTAATTTCTGATACTCTTGAACTAAGAGGATATCTCAAAAAGGAGTTGGACGCGTTTCTCACAGCTAACCTCAGCCTGCTCTGGCTAATATGAACCTCTCAGGGGTAGTCAAGACCAAATGAAGAAATCTTCGCAGCAGTCTCTGGCTAAGAATCTCCTTCTCTGAACTTTTCACACACTTTGTCTTTAATATCAAGCAACTTTTCTGCACTAATCTGATCCTTGTTCTTTTAGGACTAAAATTTCATTAACCTCCTGAACCAGTACAAACCAGTACCCTCTTATTATTAATCCCAGGCCACTAACCCTTTAAAATAATACATTCATATACTGGAATTTATTTATAGGGATTAGATATTATAGTCCATGCATGTTTTTATTTCATCTTTTATTTAATACTCTTCTTTTTTTGAATATAAATTTCAGACCAAATATAATATGGTTCTAAAGGGTATTCCACAAAGAAGGTAGAAACCAGTTTTTGCATCTAGGCTGGAATTTTCATTCAATACTCTACATAGGCTTATCAGTATCATAAGTAAACTGATAATTTTAATACACAATTTAATTTTAATTACACAATTATATAATCCATATGTAATTCTGACTCACAGAACAGAATACAACTAAAGCAGTATTGAGTCTAAAATGCATATATTACAGAATTTAGTGTATTACTGATCTTTAAATTTAACAGCAGAAAAGTTGTGAAATGCCTTCTACGGACTAATCACATTTGGAAGAAGTGATGTACTCAGTATAGCATGGGAAAGGGAGAAATGAAGTCTGTCCATCAATATTTCACTGGTATTTTATACTGGAAAGTGGCTCTGCTCTGTGAAATGGTATGACATTTTGAAACATGAACTGGCAGAGGGACAGGAAATGGGGAGGGGGAACGAGAGAAAATGACAAGGAATGCTAAAGTGATACACAGGTGTATTTGTCAAACATGCCGGAATACCATGATGTGGCCAAGTAAACTGTACTTGAACAAAATTACTAATAGGGTCTACATTGCATATAATTAATTTCATTTAAAAGGAAAATGACCTTGAAGCTACATTATAATATTTGCCAACTTAAACTCAGAGCTTCCCAAGTAGAGTTTTTGTAGTTTGTTGCTACATGATAATCAAAAGCTCATTTCTTTCTCATTAAAAGGATTGAGGCTATTAAAATACTATCTACTAGTGGAAAGCACATTTCCTTGAAAATTGATGCTTGAAACAAAATTCATCTACAGGCTCAGAAAGCAGCCCCATTTGAAGGTATTTATTATGGGAATCACATGTTCTCACCTTCACACTGGGCTTGGACAGTAGTTTCAACAGCTCTCTGATCTCACTGTTTAATGGCTTGTTCTGAAGCTCTTCGGCCAGCTGCAAGGGAGATCACATTGACACAAAGAAACTTAGTAAGAGCGTGAGGCTCCATGTGTGACCACGGAGGATCTGTCTTGCTCAAGGCTATTACTTTTCAGTGTTGAAGGAGAGGTCAGCACAAAAGAAAACAGACCATCAATCACACTGTTCTTCTTTTTCGGCCCTCAGTAGTCCAGACCCAAGTCCAGGCTCCTGGCTGAGTACAAATCAAGTAATCGTATCAGCCAGGTCCCCTTTTGATTTATTGCAACAAGGGCAAATCTCAGCACTTCATCTATGGGAATGGTCTTGTGCACGTAGACAAAGCACCACTTGTAAAAAGGCCTGGATCAAGCTTTGACACCGTACTCTCTCCCTCCCCCCACCCAAAAAAGTGCTTTGGACCGAGGTGGTGAAACTCATGGGGTTTCCAAAATCTCACAGTAGCTGTGCTGTTCAGGGCTGGGTGAAAAGAACGAGAAAGCCCCTGATGGAGTGAGTGGTCTGAAGCTTTTATTATGTTTACCTATGCAGCCTAAGAAGTCTGTTAAATATAAACCAAGTTACTCATAAAATGACCTATAAGTTGACAACTGCTCTGGTGCCCAAAACGCTGACTGTACTCTTCTACTGTAATGATCGTGAATCCCCACTTGTTGGTTCCACTAAAGGCTAAAAGTGTTGTGACTTCCAACCTTCCTCGGACTCTCCCTTAAGAGACATTCCTAGCAAAATGTCAATTCAGTTTTCGGCCATCGGAAGGAGGCTATAAGGTTCACCAGAAGAAAAGCAAGACTCAAACAGGAAAAAAAAGATTACAAATATGAAATATGCAGTGTATGATTCAAAATGTATAAATGCATTTTTATTTAAAACCCCTTCTTAAAACGTTGCACAAAATTTCCATGTGCCCTTCCTATTTCTGCAAATCTAAAAATAACTGTTCTGATCTCTGGAAAAGGATGTGTCTCTAAAAGAAGGGTGCAGTGCAAATTATATTCGTTCATTACCTTTCAAAAATTGCCTTTACTTTTTTTCAAGGTAACATTTCTGCAGAATTTTTCACTTACAAAAAGACCCAAAAGGCTTTTAGCACTGTTTACTCACTAACACATCACAATACATTTTAACGTCTACATATACTGTTCTGACGAAATTATATAAAATACTATGGTTTATCACATTTAGATAGTGGTTTCTAACTTTTTCATAAAGCAATATTGTTGTAATACGACTGAGACTGCATTACATCAGTTTATAAACAATGTCTCCCAAAACCCTGAACAGCAAAACAGTTTAAATGGGGTTTTTAAGGCTCTCTTGGGAGGCATTTGCAACTTACTCGTGGAGCTATTATTATTATCTTTGCTGACCTCTACTTCAAAAGTTTGAGTTCTGCGATATAGAAGAGTAAACGTCTTCATTATAAGTATTGATCTTGAAACATATAATCCTTGCTGATAAAAGTGAAAGGGAAAATATTTGGAGACTAACGAAATAGCATACAATCTGGATATTTATCATATAAGCTTTATTTTCTAAATTAGAATATAAAATATATCAAAGAAAACCATTTGAAGATGGTCAATTTTTTTCTTTTTTACTTTATCATGGCCCTGATATTTTACTACACTGAATTGCAGCTTGTTTTTATCAAAATCAAGGACATAATTTAAAAGCAGCGAATACGCTACGGGATGTCACAGAAACCAGCCTTTGCCCTGAACAGATTTCTTGCCCAACTTAGTACCCTTTATAGTTTATCCAGGTGTGCACCCAATTCATCCGCATCTGAAAGTTAACAGTAAGAACCAGCGAGTTAGTTCCCCTGCCCCCAAGTTTAAAATAAAATTATAGCTACAGGAAATTAAATACTCCATCAATGCCAACTGCTTCTAAAATTTATTTTTTGGTTATGAAGGTAATTTGGAAAGGTCTAATATCCATAAATCATTACTATGCTTTCTAATCCATTTTAAAAACAATTCTGTCTTTTTATGTATTTCATATGGCTTATTCCTGTACTCGGATCTGTCATTTTTTAGTACTGTCAGCAATATAGCAATCTCATTTGTCTTTATTTCTCCAAAGCATTCCTCTTGCCTGCGACTTTCTCAGAACACCAGCAGCTGACAGCTTCTCTGTCTCCATAGAGTTTATGGCCTCAACTTTCTCTTACGTAGTTAACCAAGGCAGAGCAAGAGGGTGCCTACAGGCAAAATTTTTAGAACGGGAAAGTGAATGGAAATCAGCATAATATCAGCATAAGCTCAGTGATGACAGTAGTTCTGGAAACATTTGCAACTCCTCCTGGTTTGCACTCATAGGATCACACGCATCTGTCTGCACCCAGATGAGTTCTGCCCTGGCCGGGCCTGCAGCAGACACGTAGGGCTCGGAAGGCACACTTACGTCACTGGCCAAAGCTGCCGCACCAGGGAGAATGGGCACCGGACTCTGCTTCTCATAGTAGTGTAGTTTTTCATGAATCTGGAAGAAAACCAAATGTGTTTGAGTTTGCCTGTTAGTAAACAGTCTCAGACATTTAATTATTTTTATAATTGAAAAGAGAATCTGATCCCTTGAATACTCTAAAGTGATGGTTTATATAAGCCGATGGACGGCACATAGGTGTGCTTAATTAATCTATTACAAGGGTCCAATATTTTACACTGTGCAGTCAAAGAGAAGAAAAACTATTTATGAAGTAGAACCCACATGAAAACTAACCTTTGATTTTTTTTCCCCCTGAATAATCATGGTAGTCCTCTAAACTCTATAACCTAAAATCCACTGCTTCAATACTTCAAGTATCAATCATACAGTAGAACCTCCATTTGATCACCTCCCCAAATTGGCCTCATTGTCAGAGCCTTGACATGTACCACATGTATGTATCAGTACAGAAGGGCTAGTACGTTGGCCCTTGGTACGTTGGCCAGTCTGTTAAAATCTCTTGAGTGGTCAACTTACAGAGGTTCTACTGTCGTTCACATTCCTGCTAAAAACACAAATTGTGGTGAAAGCAAAACAATACACTAATAACATCCTGACAGGTTGGTATGTATTAGGAACAGCTGTCAAGAACAAAGAAGCTGGCCCTGGACATACCTGGGCGCCAAGTCCAAGAACATCTCACCAACCACGGTGTTCTTTTCACTCCTTAGGTTCTTCAACTCCCCTCACCCCCAAATTCAAATTTCTAAGAAAGAAGAGGACTTCTCATAACTAGAGACATTTCTCACAACTATTTGGCTTAAATGAGATTTTTCATATTATAAAGCAATTAATATTAACAAATATAAAAATAATTTGGTCCTTCATTTTCCCTTACTGTGACCTGAGACATATGAAGGCAAGAATCTGCTTTCATGCCACCTAAGACAAACCGAGTTCCTTTAAAAAAGAAAAGAAATCTAGTATTATACAGAAATGAAAGATGCTCAGACAAATGGCTTACTGTGGGCACTCGAGTTTAATCTCTTTCAGCTCTTACACAGTGCCCTTAACATTTTATAATTTGACTCACTTTGGCCTCTTCTTTTTCCCCCCATAGTTATTATCAACACCACACATTTACATCACAGCAATACTTCCCTATCATCTGCCTTCCCTATTCCGATTTGGCCACTTGATCTAATCAATATCCTTCTAGGCAATCTCCCCTGCCTTACAAGCTCCACCCTGGGGTCAGGGATGATAGGGTGTCATGTTTCTTTAGCTTCTTTATTTTAGTTTTTTTTATCGTTTAGGACTCATTGAGGCTACAAAGAATTAGGTTTCTTCGATTGCATTTGTTAGGTAAAGTCCCTCTTATGATTGTGTTCCACTCCCAAGAGGTGTGCCGTACAACGTGCCTCCATCCCCCTTCCTCCTCCCCTACCCCACCCTGTATTAGCTCATCACTGCCTTCATAATAGCATTGAGTATATTGGATTCTTGCTTCTCCATTCTTGTGATGCTTACAAAGAAGACCGTGTTTCACCTCCATCCAGGTTAACACAAAAGACGTAAAGTCCCCATCTTTTTTAGTGGCTGAATAGTATTCTGTGGTATACCACAGCTTGTGAATCCATTTCTGGGTTGGTGGGCATTTAGGCTGTTTCCACTTTTTGATGATTTTAAATTGAGCTGCAATAAACAGTCTAGTACAAATGCCCTTATAATAAAAGGACTTATTTTCTTCTGGGTAGATAGCTAGTAATAGGATTGCAGGATCAAATGGGAGGTCTAATTTGAGTTCTTTGAAGATTCTCCATACTTCCTTCCAAAAAGGTTGTAACATTGTCAAAATGTCTGTACTTCCCAAAGCAATCTACAGGTTCAATGCAATCCCTATTAAAATACCATCATCATACTCCCAAGATTTGGAAAAAATAATTCTTCATTTTGTTTGGAGCCACTCCTTACGTATACTGAAACCTAACTAAACTACCTTATACAAGTCTAGAAGACAGATTTTACTTTATTTTGATTAGTTATATGCTATTAGTTATATGCTAAGAGAGGATTCTATCACCTTTTTGGTGACCTGGTACCTAACGTAAAGCATCAGAAAAAGAATTCTGACACTTACTAAAATGATTAGGGCAAGGTTTTTACTCAATATCTTATACCCTTTAAACATTTATCACATCAGGATAATAAACAAATTTTAAAGACTCCCAGCAGACTAGGTTGGAGAAACTCTGAAAGTATAATTTTAAATGAAAACCAATTCTACCAAGAGCTAAATTCATTTTGTTTACATAATATCAAGAATTAGGCCTCCTCAACACATACTCTCATAGACCACTGAACTTACCCCACCATAAAACTCACCTGACTTTATGGCAAGGGCTTGTTTAAACGTCTGCTTCCCTGACATAATAAACACAGAGGCTGATATTTATTAAGCACCTGCCATGTGTCTGTATGACCTGCTAGTGGTCAGTAATATGGTAGCACGGTCTTTCAGGAGTTTAATATTTTAATTCCTTAGTCCTTACAAGCACAGGAAGAGGTGATAGCACGTTTCTCTATTTTACAGATAAACAGATACATCCGGGTTTAAACAATTTGCCATGTTCCTACAGTAGTAAGAGGCAGAGGTGAGATTCTGAGGCTCAAAGTCAATGGCTCAGAGCTGAAGCTCTTCATCACCCACTTTTCCTCTTAGACGACCATCTCTCTTGCTGCGTTTCTCACTGGTCCCTGCACTGCTGAGTGACTATGACCTGCTTGTAGGACAGCAGAAGATAATAAATGGCAGTGATTTGTTTTCAATGACCAGAGGGTCACTGGTGTTCCTCCCACCCCCATCTCTTCCCCTAATACTGTTTTCCTATTGGTTCTCAGTTTTCCCAGATTAACTTATATTCATGCTATAATTATAAAATAAAGTTGCATGCCCCAAATAGACACGTGATTTCTTCACTTAATTTGCTTTCTCTGGGTTTCTTTTATGGTCATTTTCACTTCCGACATCTCCAGCGCTTCACCCATTTGACAGATTAAACTCGCCGCCAGCCCATCCATACCTGAACTTTGTACTATATCAAAATTTGTTCTTAATGTTCTCTTAGAGTGTCAAAATGCTAGCAACCCTATGTTGGTATATGTTTCACTTCACCGCATCATTTTAAAAAATAAGTTAGGGCTCGGCACCTGTGGCTCAAGTGGCTAAGGCGTCAGCCACATACACCTAAGGTGGCAGGTTCGAATCCCCAACCCGGGCCCACCAAACAACAATGATGGCTGCAGCCAAAAAATGGCCAGGCGTTGTGGCGGGTGCCTGTAGTCCCAGCTACTTGGGAGGCTGAGGCAGGAGACTCGCTTGAGCCCAGGAGTTGGAGGTTGCTGTGAGCGTGATGCCATGACACTCTACCCAGGGGGACAGCTTGAGGCTCCGTCTCAAAATAAATAAATAAATAAATAAATAATAAGTTAGTAGGAAAGTAGAAATTTGCTCTAAAAAATTTTAAGCTGTTGGATAGCACCTGTGGCTCAAAGGAGTAGGGCGCTGGCCCCATATACTGGAGGTGGTGGGTTCAAACCCAGCCCCGCAAAAAAAAAAAAAAGAAGAAAAAAAATTTTTTCTGAGCTGTTCACTGTTTCCCAAATTAGTGATAGAAATTCTGCTTCTTATCTGTATTTATTGTATGTGGGGAAGAAAATAAACCAAAATTATTTTAAAATTCTAACATAACAAACACGTACCATGTGTAGACTTCACTCCAAGGCTGTCCAATAGAACCGTCTCTGATATTGAACATGGTCTAGAGCTGCTTGTCATATGTGGTTGACCACTAACCACGGGTGGCCTTTGAGCACTTGGACAGTGGCTCATGGACATTTCCAATTTTATTTAACTTTAGCTAAATTAAATTCAAAAGCCCACATGTGGCTAGTAGCTTTCATCTTGGAGAACATGACATAGCTTTATATGCTATAACCCAGTAATTTCCCTTTGGTTCCCAGAAAAATTCACCTCTGATATTTGGCGAATTTCCCTGAGTGGAACCTTTCGGAGTTTAACCGAAGATGAGGTTCAACCAAAAATTGATCATTAAATAACAGGAACAGCCAAACCCTTCCAAATCTCATTTATTGTACATGAACATTTCCCTCTCTGTGTAGATTCAACCACAGAAGAAAACTGTGCATCACCTTTGTCCCCTGAGAAGAAGGAAGAGAAGAGGGGAAGGAGTTTAAGGAGAAAAGAAATTAGGGTAAAGAAATCTGTGGCTAAATTCATTTCTCATGATAAGAAGATACACAGTCATCCAACAGCAAGATCCTAAAAGGTGCTCAAATGTTGAAAATGCAAAAATTACAATTCAAGATCTGTATACATTACGCTCTATTCAACAGGGCATATGTATATGTCCTGAAGGGTTTGTTTTTTTATAATTATAGCATTTCTACATGTAACTAGTCCTTATAAGAAAGCTCTAGTTACCTTCCTTTACATACAACCTGAAAATGAGTGCTTGATTTTAGTAAAGGAATGTAGGGTCAATAATCAATTTTAGTTACATATAAAGAAGAACTCCTAAAAATGAAGCTTCAATTGCTAAACTATGAATAAATTAGTATCAATGCAATCATTTGTTTTAAACCTCTCAATGATGTAGAGGTATATTCAACTTGGAAAACTCCACAATGGTTATCTGATTATTTTAGATCAGTCAAAGCTTATAGCTTACCCTTTTCCTGGCTTCTATCATAAATATTAAAAAGTACTGAAAATAACTGCTGAGTAGTTTGAATCTCTAGCTTGCTAATTAATACCATGCGTACACCGAGCTGCCTGTTTTATTTAAAACATGGTGGGTACGTGTGGGGGTTCTGAATATTAAAAAAGAAAATCCATAAGTCAAAATCCTTCCAGAATCATTTTTTATTTCCTTTTGACAGGTAACTATATACCAGCTATTTTGCTAATTTCCCAGTATAGGACTGCTGACTTGGTGGACAAAAATCTCAAATCTCAAGCCATGGACCAACCA